GTGTGGAGAGAGGCAGGGATGAGAAGTTACAGCATATACCTGCATCTCTCTACTCCACACAGCAGCGAGAGTCCAGACAGCAGCTCCCAGCCTGCAAAGACAGCCTACAGCTCAGGGAAGTGAGGGATGGGGTAAAGGCTGCATGGAGACATGGGGACACTGAGAGACTAGGGAACTCTGTAAGACATGGGGACACAGGGAGACCTTTGGGGACACTTGGAGACACTGGGACGCAGACACACATGGGGGCACTGAGACTTGGGGACTCTTAGACATGGGGACACTGAGACACTAGGGGGCGCTGGAAGACATGGGGACACAGACACTTGGAAGCACAGAGAAACTAAAGAACACTAAGACACTAGGGGACGCTGGGAGACATGGGGACACAGACACACATGGGGACACTGGGAGACATGGGGACACAGACACTAGGGACACAGCCAGTGTCCCTGGTGTCTGTGTCCCCATGTCTCTCAGTGTTCCCATGTCTCCCAGTGTTCCCATGTCTCCCAGTGTCCCTAGTGTCTGTGTCCCCATGTCTCCCAGTTTCCCTGTGTCCACATGTCTCCCAGTGTCTGTGTCCACATGTCTCCCAGTGTCCCCAACTGTCTCAGTGTCCCCTTATCTCTGTGTCCCCTAGTGACATGGGGACACTGGGAGACATGGGGGCACAGACACTAGGGGACACTGAGCTACATAGGCACACTGTGAGACATGAGGCACTGAGACATTGTGATACATAGTGATACTGTAATACATAGTCTGTGTCCCCAAGTGTCTCAGTGTCCCCTAGTGACATTGGGACAGTGGGAGACATGGGGAAACAGACACTAAGGGACACAGCCAGTGTCCCAGGTGTCTGTGTCCCCATGTCTCTTAGTGTTCCCATGTCTCTCAGTGTTCCTATGTCTCCCAGTGTCCCTAGTGTCTGTGTCCCCATGTCTCCCAGTTCCCCCATGTCCACATGTCTTCCAGTGTCCCCAACTGTCTCAGTGTCCCCTTATCTCTGTGTCCCCTAGTGACATGGCATGGCACACTGTGAGACATGAGGCACTGAGACATTGTGATACATAGTGATACTGTGATACATAGTCTGTGTCCCCAAGTGTCTCAGTGTCCCCTAGTGACATTGGGACAGCGGGAGACATGGGGACACAGACACTAGGTGACACTGGGAGACATGGGGAGACAGGGAGACACTGGGAGCGATCCATCTTTACAGCAGAATCAAACTGTAAGTAGTTTTTTTGATGATTTGACAGAATTTTCTCTTGTGTCACTCCTTGTGATGCAAATAAGTTATGCAAATTAGCAAGGCCTGTATTTTTTTCCAAGTAAGGTAGAAACCCTAACTACTCTTCACATACTTTTGCTTAAGTATGGAAACTTAAGAGGGATATATGGAAACAAAACTTGTGTGGACTAGCTGAAATGAAATTAGTTAAGGTGACTTTGGTCTCTCTGTGGCTTTGGTCTCTCTGTGACTGTGGCATGTTCCCTTTCTTCTACACTCACTACATCCACCTTTTCTCTGTCTCAGACTATATACCATGAGCATCTGTCTGCTAGTAAGAAGGTAAGGAGACAATTGGACATGTCAATGCTAGGGGGCAGTCCGTAGAAAGCATGGAGCAAGTGCATCATTCATGCCAGGCTAGCCTTCCAATTCTTTGGGCAGACATGTTCGTTCCTTTCAGGAGTTCTAGTTTCATGATCCGCGTCAGTGGCCCACCATTTTTCACCCCCCATTAAGTATGGATTTACTTGAAAGATGAAAGCATGAATTAGAGATAGATTAGCATATTTTAAGAGAATCTGAGTTTTCTTATAGCTGCATCCTATGTGTTTCCCTACGGCAACATCTCCACCAGATACATAATGCTTGGGAGGTCTAACTGTTTTAGTGTTTTTGGTCGATAAGATTCTGTAAGATAAGATCCCCTCATAATTGTCAGCACCAGGTCCACTGGGCTCTTAATCTAGCCCTGCCTCTGGCAGAGTGACATGGCAGCATCCCACAACTCTAACAGTACACTCCTGAAATGTTTTACTCATTATCTGAGATCTTTAGATGAGTGCAGGGCCGGACTGAGAAACAAAATTCAGCCTGGGTATTTTTTTATCACAGCGGCCCACTAAGAAGGGGGCGGGGCAGTTTGTCACCAATGACAAACATGTCCCCCTCTCAAAGTGAGCATGTTGGTTCAATGCTCTTCCAGGGCAGACCATGCTCAGAGCTCTGCTGAAGAGCTCTAGCATGAGAAAAAAGCCCTGTATTTGTGCTGCACAGTGCAAGCAAATGTAATAACATACATGCACTGTGTTTCCTTGAAACTTGTCTCTGGTGTCTCTATAAATGGGATACCAGGAGACAAAAGGGCCAGGAAAGAGTATTGTGCATGTGTTTGGAGCCTGCTTGTGGGATTGCGTGTGTGTAGAGTGAGCTGATTGTGGTGTTGTATTGTGTAATAAGGTTGGTTTTGGTTGTATTATGTTTTAGGTGTAATGTAATGCATATGTGGACGTGAGGAGAATGTGCTGCAATATGGGCTAAGGCCACCAGTGTGTGCAGTGCTCTAAGACCGTGCGAGGAAAACTGGTGCTAGAGCTGTGTGGAGAATGCTGAGATGGGATGTGTATTCAGCATTCTGTGTATTCAGCCATCTCTGCATATTCAGTAGTCTGTGTGTGTATTGAGTGCATATTTAGCAGTCTGTGTACGTGTATTCAGCAGTCTGCATATGTGTGTATTTAGCACTCTGTGTGTGTTTGTATATATCCATTTAGACAATGACACACTGCCTTACATACACAATACTATACACACAGTCCAACAAAGTACAATCATTGTAAGTATTTTATTAGTGATTTAGGAAATGTTCTCCTTCCAAATGTTCTCATTCTTTTATGTATGTCGTGTGGTGTGATGTCACGCATATATAATTCATTATGCAAATTAGCATGGCAGATATTATGTTCCAAAAAAGGTGGCAACCCTAAGTCTATACCTACCTAAAAGAGAACTAGTTATCCACACCAGCTTGAAGAAGGTATGTACACGTTACACGAACAAGCTGAAAATAGGTAGCTGATTACTTTAAAACTAATATTGGAAAAAAAGAAATAATATTTACATTTTGTCTTTCACCTCTTTACAGATCGACTCATAATATTTTACCTAAAATGGCTTCCAACACTGTCACGGGAAAGGTTTCTATCATCCCCAGTATTCAACCTGTTAATAAGTTAAAAGAAAAGCCTGCCATCAATGGTAAGGTGATACTGAATAAGAAGAAGTTAAGCAATTTGTTGTCTGAGCAGATCAAGAGCAACAGAGCAGTAGCAGAAAGTAAAAAGTCCTTGGTGGGTACATGGAAAGATGTCCTGATGGAACTAGAATCCAGCAAGACAGGGGAACCTGCAGACAAGATCCCTCAACTCCCTGAAATGCAACGCTTGACAGATACTGCAACCAAAAATAAAAAAGACACCTTAAAACATAAAACATATAATGGTAACCTAAATGACAACAGGACATCTAATACAAGACTTAGCCTGGCTCCTCTGGAAATCACTCAACAGAGTTATCATCGCAAAGAAGTCATGTAGAATTATAATGCATTAAATATGGATGGTAACAAGAACAATGCTGTGTGGACTGTTATTAAAACTTGTGAAATAACATTCTATTTTGAACTTACTAAATACTTTTTTACTTTTTCTTTTTTAAGAGCAAAAACCGTTTTAAAAATAGTATTTATTGTAGTGTTGGTGTTTGAATGCTGGGGTGTGTTTTTGTAGTGGTAGTATTTGAGTGCAGGGATTTGTTTGTGTGTAGTGTTGGTATTTCCAGCAAAGACAATTTTTTGTGTTCAGTGTTGTTGTTTGAACATAGTGGTGTGTTTTTGTTTATTTTAATGTTGCTATTTGAATACAGGGGTGTATTTATTGTAGTGTCAGTGTTTGACTGCTGTGGTATGTTCGAGTTTAGTTTTAGTGTTTGGATGCAGGCGCATGTTCAGATATACAGATGCACATTTTCATACACAGATACTGCCACACAGGGGAGGGCTGGCAGCCTTAGGCCTGGGGGGCAAAACCAGTCAAGTGGCCCATTGCACCACCAAATCAGTTCACCATCCATGCCCATCTGGTTTTATAACGGATATTGATGTTATACTAATCAGTAGCTCTTTGCCATACCCGCTCCTTCACGGCTCTGACTTTCAATGTTGGCAGAGCACAGGCTGAGAATCTCTGAGCCTGTGCTCTGACTCACTAACTGAGCGCCAGAACCACGAGAGAGAGGATATAATCTGACTGCACCTACTGCTGGTGCGCACCAGTGGACCACCAGCGAATCATTTAAATTGAATATGCTGGGGTCCCCAACTTGTGAGCTGTGTTGGCCGCCGGGCGCCTCTGTTGTCATGGCACCCTGCGTGACCGCACAGCTTGCACACCCCAACGGCTGGCCCTGCTGACACATACTGATGTTACTACTTAGAAATCCCTCAATATTAATACAGACATCAGAGTAAACACCAATAAACTGTGCAAACAGAGCTGATCCCCCCAAAGATTTGCTGAATGGATTTGTTGTAAGATTTAATCATGCCTCCTCCTCTCCCTCTCCCATGCGCTGCGCTGTAGGCTGGGAGGAAGTGAAGAGTAATCACATTCTCCCAGCACAGCGCCACCTGTGGCTGCATGGGGAACAGCTGTTTAAAGTAATGCTTGCAGGACGGCCACCTGCCGCAGAACCTCTTAGTTCCCATCGCTGCAAAGGGCTCCAGGCACTGTTTGCTGTGAGTGTGAGCCACTGTAAATTAGGGGCAGAGGGCACTTGCACTGCGGTAAAGACAGGTCTGGGCAGGAGGAGAGTGCAGTGCAACCCCCTCCTGTGGGTCACCAGTAGACACAGTGTAGAAACAGTGTAGACACAGTGTGTGTTTACATTAAAAAGCCTGCAGGGACCGGCTATAGACACCAGAACCACTTCATTAAGCTATAGTGTCCCTTTAATGTGAGGTAAATTATAGATTAGTGTCACTAATAATATACTAGATTGCCTACTTACAACCAGATGAGGATGATGATGGGCTGCGGTTTGGCTCCACCGGTCTGGTGAAGAAGAGGATCTCTGAAGGCTGTTTATAACTGTGGTCACAAAATTCAAAGTTCTAGTAGAATGGGAAGCAGCTCCATTTTTTTGGGGCCCCTTAAACAGCTCAAGGTCTGGGTCCCAGGGCCTGACGGTGAGTATGCCCATAAGGCCCACCTAAAAGTCCACCTACATGTTCCACCCATGAGTTCGCTCACAGGGAGTGGAGTGTGTAGGGGATGTGTTATGTGTTATTGTAGAGGATCTAATGTGTGTGCTTATGGTATGTAGTGTATAGGGATACCAGTTTGTGTAGGTGATGCAGTGTATTTGTAGTGGAGGCAGTGTGTGTTTGTGTATAAGCGATGTATTGTGTGAATCTGTGTTTGTATGCATAAGGGATGCAAGGTGTGTGTCTGTAGTGTGTGCATTGAGTGTGTGTATGAAATGCATTGTGTTTCTGTGTATATGTAAGAGAAGCAGTGTGTGTGTTTGCATGTGTGTGTAAGGGTTTGCATTGTGTATATGTGTGTAATGAATGCATTGTGTGTTTCTCTGTGTGTAAGGGAAGCATGTTATGTTTCTGTGTGTGTAGGGATGCATTGTGTGTTTGTGTATGTATAGGGATGCATTGTGTGTGTGTGTGCGCGTAGTGTGAAAGAGCTCCTTGTCCTGCCCCCTGTCCTATAGAGCTCTCCCCTGCCCCTTAGTGGTCTCTCCCCCCCCCTTCCCTAGCAGTCACTTCTCACAGCCACCCACCCTCCCTGTGCTCTTCTCATTCCCCCCCCCAAACCTCCGGTATTCTTTTCAGCCCCCTCCCTCCCTGTGTTCTTCTCACTCCCCCCCATGTGTTCTCCTCACCTCCC